AAATAAATAAATTGATTACTACAATTTTTTTTAAAAATGTAGATAAATCAAAGAATAGATAAATGAATAAAACCTCGAAAACATATTATTTCTTCCCTTTAACACATCGTTATCTCTGAATAGCTCGAGGTTGGGGGTTGGGTTTTTTTTGGTTTCTTTTAAATACTTTTTGGGATATTTTACAGCCCGTCTCGTACTACCCTGTGACAAAATATATGATTTTTGCCTAAGAAAAATCTGAGCTAAAGATCTGGATATTCGGTAAATTGTTAGAGAAGGAACCGGTTCGCGAGGTAGTAATCCGGATCACTGATTCGTTGTTATTCTAATCAACCAAGCCATTTGACAAGACTTACCTTGATTCTATGTTGGAAACCGTTGGTTTTTTGGCGGCTTCACTTAACAGTTCTTGACTCTAAAAGTTTCCGTTAATATGGCTCAATTCTGACCCTTCTGTCTCAGATGTATGTTTACGTTCACTGTTTAGATTAGTTGGCGGAATATTGACTTGCAAAATATACCCAAAAAATTGCATATTAAAAAAATGTAGGTGTAGGCCCACTGGTTTTACAGTTAACCGGGTAGCTTATTTTCAAGAAAATGGCGATTTACTCTCTGCAGGCGAATATTGTCAATCTCTGATTGTTTTCAGTAATTCACTTTTATTATCAAATCATTTTTTACTTATTGCAAATGGGTACGCCCAAAATCCGGTTCATCTAGAATAGGATACCAGTTCAGCCTTTTTTGGGGTCCAGCAATTTTTTAAATCACAGTGATACATTATGTCATCGGCACGGAGCACCTTTTCCCCTTCCTGTACGTAATTTCCGGGTAGACGATGGTATCGATCTCAGATAAATATCGTTGTTTCAGTCGTTAGACATTGATCTCGTGGGTTGATGAATCTTACAGTAACGGAACTAGACTGCAAGTACTGAATGTGATCTCCCAATCTTGTTTCCCGCCCATGTACGTCCTCCAGTTTTCCAGTCGTCCGTTTTCTCGGGGTTTTTTTAAATTCTGTTTCTGGCTCTCTGTCTATGTCAGTCTCCAATGTTCTGTGTCTCGCTGTCTATGTCTCTCTCTCCCTCTCTCTCTCTCTCTCTCTCTCTCTCTCTCTCTCTCTTATTTCTCTCATCCCCCCCTCTCTCTCTCTCATCTCTCTCTCTCTCT